TTACTGAAATCTTTGTCAATATAAAGTTTAAACAGCTAAGCATGCATAATAGCATTACTGCGATCTTTATCATCTGTGAAATTGGGTGTTACTATGCACAACTTTTGTCGAGAGTGGTGCCAATCTTGCATTAACAAGTCGCAGTGTTACTTGTAAATTTGCAGTAAGGATTTCAATCACTCTTAGTTGTCATGTATCAGGTGATCTTTGCTGATGGAACCTTCATTGATGGGAGTACGAGTGAGCTTTCATGTGATGGACCATTAAGAGAGCCATTTGCTGTATTTTGCCAGGTAAGTGCTTGTTTTATATCGTTTAGTGTCCCAGTTGAGACTTGACCCTATCCTGGAATTATGAAGTAATGTAAGTTTGAAGCTTTAGAAATGGAAATAAATTTAACTTAATTTAAGACAGTTATTGCATCCTGAACTTCAGTTTTTGTTGGATTTCTATTGCAGGGCGGCTCCCATTGGACTCAGTGGGGACTAGTTCTTGGAGAGGTTTTAAAAGCCATATGATGTAGAACCAAATTTTTGCGAAGAGGACAGCAAGGTTGTATAGAGTGGAATATTTTCAGGGATGCCATTAATGTCTATTTATTGTGCAAGAATTACGTGTTATGGGAGCTTCAAGATATACCCTTTCCCCGATTGCTGTAGCCTGTATAACAGAAGTGACATCAAACTCACCTCAATTTTTTGATACAAGGTACAACGGACTCTTCTGCTACCAAGTTCTGGGTTTCTGTGTTTTATATGAGAGTTCCTTACACATACATTAACTACCTGGTTTATTATTGTCAGACTAACTTTTGGGTACTTCTGCCACCATTCTAATCAGTTTGGCGGATCAGTTTGTTGTAATGGGAGAGCTACTACTCGAACCCAAGGGGACAAGTGAGGATACAGTCTGAGGAAGTTTTTACTCCATATGGTTTTCTTTGATTTGGGGCGTGATGCAAGAAAATCTGTCACTCAAGTGTAGCTTGGAAATGAGTTGAATCTTACAATTTTAGCCTTAATATTATACATTGATTTGTGCCACTCATTTTGCAAATTTTCTCATTGACTCATTACATCGATTGGTGAGACAGATTGGAGCTGATAAGAGTGAAAATTTTATATTTGGAAGAGATGAATAGTTTGCTGAATTTTGCTTGTCATTAAACACGTTGTTAGCAAAACTTATGCTCTACAGATTATTGAAAAAGATGAATGATTGAATCATAACTAGGTGGAAACCAAAACTACAACCATTGTTATAGCATAAATAAATGAGATTTTGCAATTGCTGGTGGTATAATAAAAAAATTGTTTAAAAAAAAGGGAAAAACACTAAAATGCGGTGAGCGTGGATCGAACACGCGACCTTCAGATCTTCAGTCTGACGCTCTCCCAACTGAGCTATCCCCGCTGTGGACATTAGACATGATATAAATATTTATATAACATTTTACAGAGATGCTATCTCCTGTTCCGCCAGTTTTCTGCAATAAATTGGAGTTCAAAGCATGGCAGGGGAGCTTCAGTCGCTACCATCCCTCACTATCTATCCTTAGTAAAATAAATCTCATCTGAGCAACAAACCAAACCAACCAGTCACATATTTTTTCATACCAGATATTAAAAACTAGCCATCTTTTCTGAGCTTCCTTTACTCTCGATAAAGCTGAGGAAATATCGCAGAAAACGCAGAAGCAAGCGTTTCTCTCTGCAAACCAAGAGATAGTCCGTTTTCTGAACTTATTAGCTTATGAGTGGTTCACTTGACTTCTACCTGTAGCATTACTTTACAGTTGACTTCAGCTTGACTTTTTGAATAGTGTTTCTAAATCTTTGACATTTCATATGAATTTTGCAACTTTTACTTCATAAATGTGTGTTTTTGTCATCTGGGTTGTCACAAATTCATGATTTGTGTTTTTATTTTTCATCGATATACGACTCTTATAAATCTGAGACTATTGGGTATAGTGCTACTTCAGTTGAATCCTAACTAAAACTATTGACACAGTTCCAAGTTCTTGAATCACCATCTCTGTGGTTAAAAACACAAAAGAAAAGATGGGAAATCCAGCACAAATTACTCTTCTGGCTTCCACTTTCTGCGTGATGCTTACAATGCATTTCTCAGTACAGCTTCTCTCAGAACATTTTTTCTACTGGAAGAAGCCAAGGGAGCAAAAAGCCATCATAATCATTATACTTATGGCGCCCTTATATGCTCTAGATTCTTTTGTGGGCTTGTTAGATTTAAAGGGAAGCAATGTTTTCTTTACTTTTTTGGACTCGATCAAGGAGTGCTACGAGGCTTTGGTAAGATTTCAATATAACTTTTCATGTATATTCTGTTGCCATTAGTCCTTAATTTGTTAGTGCTTGAGTTTGTAAATTCATTATGTGCAGGTGATAGCTAAGTTTTTGGGTTTGCTGTACAACTACTTGAACATATCTATAAGTAAAAACATAGTGCCAGATGAAATCAAAGGACGGGAGATTCACCATTCATTTCCCATGACTCTTTTTCTGGTAAATGAATTTTCATCTCCGATTCTTGTTGTGTTAATTAAGTTAACGACTGAAAAATGTGTATGTTTCCTGATATCACGTCAATTTTATGCTTAAAGAACACATATTTATTGACAAGAAATTTCATTTTCTCTTTGGGATGGGAACAGTAGAAAGATTCCTTTCCTTGCAATGACAAGGACCTTCTAGCTATCTGAATTCTTAGTCTTTTCACCTTCTCAGTAGAGTGTGAAAATGTATGTTGTAACTAATTTTCGTTGGATTTATTGGAAATAGCTACTTTTGTTAGCCATGACATGTTGAGGTATATTGACTTGTATCTATGAAAAATGCAGCCTCGTACTGTTCATTTGAACCATCATACATTGAAGCTTCTCAAGTACTGGACATGGCAATTTGTTGTGATTCGCCCCGTGTGCTCCATCTTGATGATAACTCTTCAACTCCTTGGAGTATATCCCAGTTGGGTTAGCTGGACATTCACAATAATTCTGAATATTTCAGTGACACTGGCTCTGTATTCTCTTATTGTTTTCTACCATGTGTTTGCTAAAGAGCTGGCACCACACAAACCTCTTGCCAAGTTCTTATGCATCAAAGGGATTGTTTTCTTCTGCTTCTGGCAGGTAATTATCATTCCATCTCCCCTTTCATGTTGAGCCAGAAACCGACAAGTTCATAGTTCTGTCAAATGTGGACTGTTAGAGATTGCCATTGTGGATAAAGGATTTTGTAAATATTATAAACTCTGACTAGGGAATGTAAACTTCCATAGCTTTTAGACGTACCACTGGATAGTGGTGTAGGTATTGGTCTTGCTGATTCTAAATCACGAGCAGGATGGACCTTTGGTAGAGCTCCTTGAGCAGTAGTCAAAGTAGAGCTCCTTGAGCAGTAGTCAAAATGTGCAATATGCATATTGCATTCTTCCTTCTAGATCTGTTTCATGTCATACAGTTGCAAGATATAGCATATTCGTGATGTTATAGCGCTTGTGGTATCAGACCCTATGGAAAACGATTTTTAATGCTTCCAAGATATAGATTGTTATGAGTTAAGGACACTGTATACTTTCTTGTCCATCTTGATTGTTGGGCAGGTCATGCTGGTTCTAACACCAGTGTCCATGTCTCAAACTGTGTTTCATGCTATTTCAAGATATCCAAAACCATATCAAATACCTTTGTTTCTGTGTTGAATTTTGAGAACCATGTCTGTCCGGTAGCCTTACTTTAAAATGCACACAAGAAATCATTTTTTTGCTCAAATATCAAAACTGAGATTTCCATATTGGTTTGCAAAAAACTTCTGTAAAATGTATTTTCTTGAACATTTCCAATTAGTAGATTTGTATTTGGTTCGGTTTGGAGCAGGGTTAATCCTTATTTCTTGTTTTATAAAATGAAATTTGTTGTGCGTTTTGAGAAAGCAGTTCAATTGATTTTGCAGGGAGTTGTTCTTGACGTACTCGCAGCATTGAAAATAATTCGATCTCATCATATCTGGCTGGACGTGGAGCATATTGAGGAAGCTCTTCAAAACATATTGGTGTGTGTGGAGATGGTTTTATTTTCAGTTTTTCAGAAGAACGCGTACAGTGTTGAACCATATAGAGACGATGGTATACCAAGTAAGCCAAGGGAAAATAAGAAAGAATGATTTGGGGGCCATGAGTGTGGTTCAGAATGTTATGTAATGATATGTGTTCAATTGTTCTAGCTGTTTTACGAGGACATTGGCAAATATAGCCATCATACTGAAGAGATACAGATATGGTGCTTCTTGTAATTTATTTATATGATAATGAATAATGATCTAGCGTTTTCCTTTACAAAATACTAAAATACTTCAAAGCAAACCTTTGGTTAGTGTTTTCTATGACCTCATGTAAATGGGTTAATTTGTGAGGAAACCTTTTTGTCTGTCATTGTACCCAAAAATGCCTGTTCACACTAGTTACTACCTGGTAGTTTAGGGTTTTATGTTGACCATGTTCACAAATCGATCACTCCCTCTCCTCCTTTTATTTGGGGATGATCTAAATCCTAAGAGTATTTATGACATGTTTACTTAATTGTTAGCAACTTGAATTGAAAAAAGCTCATATACACACACCTTACATATACGTGGCATTTTGTTTTATTGAGTCATTTGACACGATTACTTAAGCGTGTCAATTTTGAATATTATTCACCACAGAATGACAACATGAACATCCAGTCTAACACAAACTGTCACTTATTTTTACTTACTAAATTGTCACCCTTTCTTTCTTGGACCTTATTTTGGGGACCAAAAGAAAAGAAACATAAAGATGTGATTAACCTCATACAATCATGTCAATATTATTTTATTTTCTGCCCCCTCAAATTTTAAATTACACTAATCTTGGCCACATGGGTCACGTATCTGGTAAGAAACAACATGATTGTTGGGCCACGCATCTTATCTGCAATAAAATACTGTAAGTAATGCCGAGAACAGAAAAACTAAGCGACATCACAGAAAGTAGAAAAGCCGAAGCTGGGGAAAGCAGCTAATACATCTTCCCATCTTATTAAGCCAAGCCCACCATGAAATCCCCTATGAACAGTGCAAAACCAGTGTTTTAGATATTGGGTCGTTTCTGCTTAAACTTCCATCTTTTCCATGACAACCGTTGTTCATATCTCCATCAATTCCTTAGCTTTCAGGCTGAGCAGTTTGCATAATGACATATACAAGAAACCCATCAAATATTACTCTCTGTCGAGGACAAAGATTGGTTGTTTGAAGCAGAACAGGTTCAAGGCGAGGGCTTATTGGGAGAGGTGGTCTTCCTTGGGAGGGGGTAGTGTTAAAGATGAGATGTTGGGGAGAGATGAGGGATGGAAGAAGAAGAAGAAGAGAGAGGTTGTGGTGAGGTTCAATCAGGGGTTTGGGTTTAATGGTGATGGAGGTGGTGGTGGGAAAGATGATGGAGCCACTGCTAGAGTTCTGGGTAATTTAGCCTTGGCTATTGGATTGACTTATCTTTCATTTACTGGGCAGCTTGGTTGGATTTTGGATGCAATTGTTTCCATTTGGGTACTCTCTCTCATTTAGCAACTGATTTGGGGTTCTTCTCACAAATCTTAGTTCCTTTACATTTCTGAAGAAAACTGGTAGCTTTGTTGACTCTGACATCAGCATGTAGGATTATATCTCTAATGAAATTGATGCCTTTTCACGTCCAGCTCCTTGCAGTGCTTGTACCAATTGTTGGTGTGGGTGCTTTTCTGTGGTGGGCAAGGCAGGATATGGTTCAAGACAGTGTAAGGCTACTAAATTTTTTTTATTTTCTCTTACTCACTTCTTAAATCTCATAGTTTTCTTCAACTGTGGTATCAAACATCTGTTGTTGCATAGTGAAACACAACTGAAGATGTTGCTACCAGTTTGACACCTACAAGGACTAGTAAAACCTTTTTAATTATTTATGTCAGCTTTAATTATTTGTTAACAATAGATTAGGTCTTACATGATGTTTTGGCATGTGTGGACAGTTCAATTATCAATCTACTGATCTGCTAGTGGATGGTGTACCAAAACACACTATGATTTTCTTTTATTTGGAGTTGACAATTAAGTAATGTTTGCATTGGTCGCAAGCTCTTGATTTCAAAAAACTGTATCATAGGTGCTATATAAACAGATCATCTGGATTGGTGTTGGATAGTTTCCATGGATAGGCATGTAGAAATCTAGTGTGTTATAATGAGTTCATTCTCTCCCATGTGAGATGTATCAGATAAATGCATGACATGTATAGGATGTTTGAAAAAGGGTTGAGTACGCAAGTGATACTCTTTCATGTAACAATTCACAAACGCTTCATCCACATCTTGTAATCAAGTAATTTCGGAGTAACATCCTGAGGGTCATTTTCAATTGTGAAGGTTTATATATTTCTTACTCTGATGTCTTCTGCCTTTAATGAATTTTTTTCTTTATGTACTTGCAGTGCCCAAACTGCGGAAACGATTTTCAGATTTTCAAGTAAGACCAGTTGAATTCTGTTGTAGTTCAAGCTAACTTATGGGGACCTGTATTGGTTCTTCTTCTCTAGTTTCATTAAGGATTGTCATCTATGATAATTTGCATAACTTGGGTGAGGATGTAACCTCTTGCAGATCTGCTTTAAATGATGATTTGCAGCAGTGCCCCTTCTGCACCCAACCTTTCTCAGGTATTCTAATATTTTTGTTTCTTGCTTTTTTGAGTTCCATATTCTACTTGCTGCTTTTTTTTCCTCTTACCAGTCTGCAGACCTTTATACTTGCTTTATCACTTCTAATTATATTACATGAGATGTTGGTGAACCCATATTGTCTGTGTATCTGTTAAATTTTGGATTTCATATTTTTATGAGTTCCAAAAATTCCTCAAGCAGCTTTCTCCTGTTAGTAGACTGAAACGTGTATTTCTAAATTATGAATAAGTTGTAGTATCTGATGGAAAAGTAGCGTCCACGGTCCCTCATGTTTTAATTTTTTGTTAATTTCAGTGGTGGACAACAAGTTTGTAATGGACTCTGTGAAATACTCCAATCAGTCTACAACATTTGGACAGGCATTCAACGACTACACCCGTTCCACAAGAGGTTATCCCTGAAAAGCCTCTTGCCATGTTGCCATGTTGCCATTTTCTCTTCATGGTCATAATACCAATATTTATCGATTTGTTTTCTGAGCTTGAGACTGGTTTCAGGGAAGGAGTCTTCTAAAGCAGTTGTTGATATTGAAGCAGAAGTAAAAGATGCGGACTGAGAGGCTGCTTGGGAGACACTCTGTTGATGAAAATGGTGGAAAACTATTATGCTTGAAATATGATCTAATATTACTCGTAGATTATTGAAAATAGTAATATAGAATAGAGCATAGAATAGTTTCCTAGAAAATCTGGAAATAACATTGTAATCAGCGTCGTCTTAAAGGGTAATCCGATGTTAAACTGGTGACATGGTGAAAGAGCAAGACTGAACATGCGAGAAAGGGAAATGGTTACCAAAGTGGCATCCTAAGTGTAGATTATGTTTTTGACAATGAAGACTTTGCTTCATACTTTGTATATTATTTATGGCAATTTGGGTTGAGTTGTAAGGTTTTTCTCGGTCACATGACTAAACTTGCTGCCAAGGCTGAGAGATAAATTTTGGCCAATTTATTTGTAGATACTGTTTATATGGTGCTTTGAGTAAAGCCATTTGCAAAGTTGTTCTCAAATTTCTTTTTGCCTTGACCTTGAGGCAACAGATTTCTTTTAAACTACCTTCCCACCTATCCAGGTTTCTTGGCAATGATGAATTTCTAAAATCATCAACCACGAATGTTCCAGGTCCACTAGTTTAGTAGTAAAAAGAAAAGGGTTTGCTAGAATGCACGAGTGCTAAAACAACGATGGCCATTAGATAAAATGATCATAAAAAGAAAAGGCACCATGTATAAATCCAGTCATGTTAAACAAGAGTCATGTACAAACTGGAACTGCCTAAAAACTGTGGTGTCTTGTATCATGGAAGATCATGCTCATTGTAGATATTCTGAAGACGGGACACCGATTTATTTATTTGTACATATATTCAGGAGCTCAAAAAGCTAGTGTGATGGTTCTCCAACTTTCTGCAACCAAAGACAACAGAGTGCTCAGCTAATGGAGATTGATTTCATAAGTTTGGAAATATGTATAGGTCATCCAGCAAGAATGGTAAATACTCGAATGCTTCAGGTTCATGAAGATGGGAAATGTAAGCATCATCATACATAAACACCTCTAGCAGGTGAAAACTACCTCAAGCCATTGCATGCATAAACAATCAGCCCACTCTTACAACTCAAATCATTTTATGAGGCCAAGTTCTCAGCTCCGGATAGATCTGATCGAAGACTATAATGCAAGAGTTAAGAACTGATGGTTCAGAAAACACATGGATAATAGAAAGGAACACAGAAAAATTTCACTCTGAAATCCATATATACATCCCCAACACTACTGAATTATTCTTTTATAGTAAAAAATGTAGGAGATATTTGTGTCTAATCATGTCACACTAAAAATTAGATAGAGTCATGTAACAGAGTATGAGAAGGTACTTTAACATATTTAGCTTCATGAGACGAATGAAAATAGACAAAGCTCATAATCAAAAGCTTTAACAAAGTACCTCGTCCTTCTGGTCCTTTTTGTCTTTGGTAAAGAACTTATAACCCCCATATAGGAGTGTCCCCCATCCAGCTAAAGAGACAATCACAAACTGTACCAAGTGAAGCAACACATGAGATATAAGAGTCTTGACTCTAAATCACTAAAGCCATATGAATATCTCATGCAGCACTATTGCAGGCAATCCAAAAGTATTTTGGCATGAGGATTTCACTCAACACAATCATTTTGTCTCTTTAGTTCAACAGACAATTAAAAACGTCCTCAAACACATCTACTTCTCTCACTCACACACACCACAACATAACACGGCTACTACGTTCCTCAACATCACAATGAGACTGAAAGCTGTCAATTGCAGATTTCGATTTCACCTTAGAGGTACAACTTTTTTATTTGACAAGAAAAAACCTATTACCACAAACATAGCCCAAGTATCCATTCACTATAAACTTTGACATATATGGAACTTGTCTTCATGTAAAAACAGGAAATTTCTCTAGCATTGTTAAAAGACAATCAAAATAATCTCAGCAGTTATCTAACAACACCATTATAAAGACGTCTTCGAAAACAAATTATAATAAAACTCACATGTTCTTGCTTCCATTTAAATGGGTGCATTGGGTCCTCCCAAAAGTTCACCTTTGGAGGTCCATGATGATCTGCAACACAGTCAAAGCAAGTAAAACAGCAAGAAACGAACAAAATAAAATAAATATAGATATAAATCGACCACAACCCATTTGACTTCTGGTTAAGTAGGTGAAAGAAAACCAAAAGAAAAGTTCATTAAACAGAAAAAACCCAGCTCCGCCACTACCACTATCCCAGAGGTGTTACACCCATGTTGATATAAGTGAAATTCATAAGTATTTTCTCACACTTTCTGATAAACCAAACAGAACAAATAAAGGAAAAAGATTAAACGAGGAGCTATTGATTAAATGAAAAACGTTAAAGGGTGAGTGAATTACCACCACCGCCGGCAAGACCGCGCCGATGGACAAAAGAAGCCCCTTGAGCTGTACAAGCTGACTTGGGAGAAGAGAGCCGAGCCATATTCGCGGCTTGCCGAGCCGCCGCTGTCCATACCGCCATTGTTCGGTTCTGAGTGACAGAGCGAGTCTGAGACAGAGTGAGAGAGACTATGTGGAAACACCGAGAAGCTACACGAGGAGAAAAACATGCACAAACGGAAAATGGTTTTCTAATTTCCAGAAATGCCCTTGTTTTTTTTTCCTTGGATATAATGAGAGCCAAAAGGCCGAAAAAAAAAAAAAAATTGCTGGGCTGCGGGACTGGCAATACCGAACTGAAAATAACAGCCCACTTGGGTGGAAACATGATCCTCGAGTCATTTATAGTTAGAGCCTTATGTGAAGTCCTATCTCTTAATAATTGGATTAGATCAACCAATTTAATTCAACGGTTAAGAGATATGGCCTCACCTAAAGGCCATATAAAATTCTTACATGATCCTCTCATGAGTTATGATCTCTCCTCTTTTTGTGAAGTTCATAATACATACATATAATACATATAATACATATCAAATATCAACTCTATATGAAATAGTAAATTTTGACACATTACACATTATTTATACCCCCAATACTATATGCCATTACATTTGGTTTTTCTTTTTACTGGGATTACAGTCGTTTATTTTTTGACTTGCTGTTATGGTCATCTACACCAGCCTCATTTTCTAATTTATAGACGCGATCGAATGAAGATCTTCTTCTTATTGTTCTGCAGAAGATCCGACCCCTGAATGCCTCTTCCGTCTGGCATCTTCTTTGGATCCGCTGATCCCATGACATGTTCTGCTGATATGTTATGTTGTTGCTTTACAATGTTCGTGTCTTCCTGCATATTCTCCATTTTTGCATGCATGTCCTCCATTGCCAACTTAAGATCTTCTGGTTTCTTGTTGTCATTAGGCAAAACTGAAGGGGGTTGATCCTTTAATCCCTCCTGCACAATCTGATACACCTGCTTCCTACCTGCAATAGTCAAAATGGTGGAGGAAAAAAAAAAGTTCAAAAAAATATGGGGAAAGAGAAACGGTGGCTGATGCATCTATAGTTTACCAAAGGGGAAAGTATGGAAGTAGCTAAATACAACGAATCAACTCTCTTATTTAAGGACGAGATAAAGAAATATAGTTCTGACCAAAACAGATGTCCGATAAATTCAAGAGTATATTTGAGGTCATCATTATTCTATATACACTGGCTCAAATGTTTTTATAAAAAAAATAATTATATATATAATAATAATAATAATAATAATAAACAAATAAAAAAAAGCAGAAATGATAGCAAATGCAACCTTTCAGGCATGAGATGGGACGCTTAATGCATCACAAGTTGAGGTCCAGGTGCAGCCTGTCCAATTAGTGAGTTTAAACAAAACCCAGGTTCTTAACAATGTAATGCTATTTAAAAATAGCTTTGAGAATTGTGGAAAAAGGGGCTATTATGCTGCAAAGACATAGGATATAGTTTGTGTGAATGGGATGCCAAAATGATGACTATCACTGAGAAAATACTATAAGCCATCATCTCTATAGGATTGAGGATTTCAAAAGAAATTATGTTAAAGCATCAAAAGGACAATGACAATGTCGGAATTCGTGACAAATTAAACAATACCCTGGAGATGAAGAATTTTGCACCTGAAAGAGAGAAAATATCCAGAGACAAATGCATATCTGGAACAAAATTCTAAAACCCCATCGTCATCCCTTTTATTATTTAGGAATTGAGCCCAAAATAAAATAAATTTAACAAACTTCGAAAAAATAAAATATTGGCAGCTCTGCTATTGACCAAAAAAAGGTGGGAATTGCGTCCTAAACTCTTGTTCCTTAGCAGCAACACCAATAACTTCACTGACTAATCTATGTGCTGCTTAGGTACCATTTTGAAAATGGAGTGAACTTATAACCCAGGCAAAGCCAGATTCATCTTTAAGCTTTACCTCCACGACTAGTGAGCTTTCTTGGCTTGCCAAAGCCCCCATCAATTCTGCATTCGATATCCATCAACTTTCCGCAATTCACCTTCTCATTATTTCTAAGTATTTACTAGTGGCGCCAAAGTTTACCTCAACAAACATTAGCGGGCCACTTGACATTCTCTACCTATGTCTTCATAGCTTGAATTTTCTGACAAATTTTGAAGGATCTATTTAGTACCTTGTTTGCTGCTTCAACAAGTCTTCCAGTAATCAGTTCAAAGACACAACCATTCAAAGCTTCCCATATTTTATATCTACAGAAACTCATTTTTCTCTCAGATAGTTTCCATAGCTCAAATAACAGCACACAACACTGCCGGGAAAGCTTCGCCTTTAAGGCCTGAAAAATAATACTAAAACAAAAATCCAATCCTCTTCGTATTTTCCACAGCGTCATAGGCATTTCCAGTGAGCCCTTCACTTACAAATTGATAAAGGTACAAAATTTGAGCATTTCACAGAAAGTGCACTGGAAATTTAAGAACATGGGCATAGAGAGAGAGAGAGAGAGAGAGAGAGAGAGAGAGAGAGAGAGAATTAAACGATTCCAGAATGCAACATGAACAGGGTTCGACAAGAATCATGTGTTCTTGCAGAAATCTCACTACTTCTGAGCAAGATGACGAACCAAAAATCCTATCCATAACTAACAAAATGATCCCAGATTACCAATTTCAATCAAACAATAAAAACCCAAAAATCATCTAACACTTCACATAGTGAAAGATAAGAAACTAACCAGGGAGGGCTTTGAGAGAGAAGTTGATGGTGGAGTCAATAGCAAATTTGGCGATGTGACCCAGAAGCCCGCCAATGTTTTCTCGGCGGTTGGGGTTTGGTTTGTGCTCTTTCAGCTTATCAGAGGCTCTCTCAATTCTAATTTCAGCCATTTCGGTAGCGACGTGTCGTTCTGGTACCCGATACGCGTCTGTGAATATCGCTAGCGTTTCGGTTTAATGGAACTCAAAAGATGCTTTGTATTCGTCAACTGAAGATAATGGTGTAGGAAGAAGACTCACAACGTTAAGTCGGTTTTGACCAAAAAAAAAAAAAACGTTAAGTCGGTGCTTTTCTCGTTTATCTGAAACAAGAGTGCTTCTTTTCTCGTGTAATTTTTTTTTCTGGAAAAAAAATAAATATTTTTAACGAAAGATTCTCTTAAGATAAACAAAGTAATAGACTCAAGTCAGAATTGTCCCTTTTTTTTTTTTTTTTTTTTCCATAAGCCAAGGAGGGATTCGAACACAGGACCTTGAGTGTAGGGGTAACTTTAAACCCTTTTATTTTTGTGCTTTCAAACTGAGGAAATTATTTAAATAGGATGAGTGAACAAATTATATGAGATTTGTTCAATGGTTTTCATGATAATGCAAGTTAGAGGTGTACAAATTTTTAAGTATACCTTAAGTGAAAGAGAAAGAAAGAGCAATGAAAGCATCTTTTTGTTTTCCAATCAAATCAATAACAGAGAATAAAATGTGAAGAAACAGAATTAAAATCCAGGGCACACATAGCAATCTGTTTAAGTGCAGGAACAAAACCAACTCATTGAAATCCCAAGCCATCAATTCAATTTTATACATGGTATCTAGAGTTCCAGTCAAGCAATGAAATAACCCTCCTTTTTCAGTTGATCCAAATACTCAGCTGGAGGCTGGACCCTTGCCATTATGGCAATAGCCTTGTTTTCTTCATCTGTCCCTCCCTCTAAAAACACTCCCACAATCTTCCCATTCTTTATCCATGCTGTTCCAAACTTCGGTTTTCCGGATGCTGGGTTTTTGTCTCCAAACATCAATGGATCACCAACATTGTCTCCGTAAAACTTCCACGAAAGATCAAAGGCACGCGAATAGAAGTATGGAAGGTAGTCGTACACTTCAATGGATTTCCCTTCTTCACTTGCCCTGATAGCTTTCACGGCTTGCTCAGCTGATTTCCTAGCATGGTCAACATGCTCAATTCTTCTCATGTCATTGTACAATTTCAGAGGGAAAGTAGCCACATCGCCTACAGCATATACATCCGGGACATTTGTTTCAAGCATTCCATCAGTTCTGAAGCCACCTTTCTCTTCATCAACTTGCCCTTTGAATAACTCAGTGAGAGGCTTTGCCCCAACACCAACAACTACAATATCAGCTTGCAGCACCCTGCCATCCTGGAGTTTCACTGCCTTTACCTCTCCATTCGTATCAGCATCGAACGCAACTGCAACTGTACCCTTGATGATTTTAATTCCTTTGTTAGCAAAGTAAGCCTCATAGAAAGTAGCTATCCCTTTAGTGAAAAGCCGAGGCATGCACCATGGCTCTGGATAAACCATGGTAACGTCAAATTGGTTGATTCTCATAGCTGCTCCGACTTCAAGACCAATGTATCCTCCTCCAACAATCACTACCTTTCCCTTTTTCTTAGCTCCAATTGCTTCTACAAGTTCATCAGCATCACTGATTTCTCTCAAGTAGAAAATGTTTTTGGCATCAGCTCCTTGTACACCAAAATCTGTCAACCTTATAACTCTGGAGCCAGTTGCAATGATTAAAGTTTGAAATTCGAAGGTTCTTCCGGTGGAACTAGTGAGGATCTTCATATCAAGATCTGCTTCAGCTATTTCTGTGCTGAGAATTAACTCAATACCTTTCGTCACATACCACTCAGGAAGCAGCCTCTCTCCTCCACTTCCAACACAGACATGGAAGCCTGGAAGTCTGGCAGCTCCCTCAGGAAACAGATAGGCCTTACTAAGTGTTGGCCGTTCATAAGGTGCCACTGCTTCTTTTGATATGATTGCTAACTCACCTGGTTTTAGCCCTTGTTTAACAAACTCCCTTGCTGCATATCCAGCTGCAACTCCACCACCAATGATCACGTACTTGAACTGCTTCTTCGTCGAAATCTCACTATACAAACTACCTTTCTGAAGCAATTCCTTAACTTCTCCAATTTTTTCATCAACAAGCTTTGCAAGATGTGCAGGTGAGAGATATTTCCTTTCGCCAAGTTGTTCGATAGTTTGTATTCTAATTTTGATCCTTTCCGCATTCTCTAACCACTCATAGACTTCATCTTCGTGTCTTCTAATCGGAAGGGGAGGCTCAGCCTCTAATTTTTTACCTATATCTTCAGTTTGGCTATCTAGCTCTTCTAACATTCTTTTCAGAGTATTCATATTAACTTCAAGGTTTCTCTGATATCTGAACCATCTAGTAATCAGAGCCCATATGAACATTATTCTTTCACAAATTGGCGCAAGAAATCCCATCGGCGAGTTCCTACTTCCTAAACATATTTGTCAACATAAATTGGATGAAAAGAGGATCATTAATCTGGTAATAAGATATCCGAAACTAGTAGTATAATTGAAGCTTAATTGGACTAGTAACTTCAAATTAAGTAATGTTTTATTGTGCTTTCAAGTTAATTTTATTTAACCCTGGATTACTGTTAGCCACACATATCCACCAACAGCTATAGCATCTGTGGTTGAAGAATTTCTACCATATTATATACAATCACTATTCACTAGCAACATGTTTGTCTATTTATGTATTGGTTTTTAATCTCTGTTTTAGTGAAACTCCACCAGATTCTTGTCAAGAAATTTTAGAGTTGCAGCATATGAAACCATTAGAACGGACCTAATGAAATCAACTGATCTTAAAAGCATTCTCTTCTTGATTCTGTTTTCAAATAATTGTACCAACTATAAGGATGCTAAAAAGACTATCTATAAGGATGTTCAAAGGTATTAATATAGAGAAAAACCTTGGAATATATAAGAAATTACAGCACATCCTTTTCAGAAAGAAAAAAAAAAGATAGTGTACCTGGCTTCACTGAATGGTAAAAACCTTGGAACAAACTGACAGCCACTGCCAATTAAGCCATTGCCCTTAAAAGCTTGCCCCTTTATAAGAGAACTGAAATTGGAAAACTGGGAGTTGTTGAAGCAAAGTATCTGCTGGGGGCTTGGTAATTAGGGAAGTAAAGAATGTGAGATCTTGGATAAGCTGTTTTCTGAGGTTCAAATGATTTTAGAATATTTTGTGATACCATGCCTTTGCTTGAAACAAGGGCAAGAACAAGTAAGGTTAGAGTATTCCATGCACTTAACAATCATATGCAGAGCATAAGAACGCAGCAAAGGGAAAGGAACAACTTACCTCTTTACACTTCCAGCTCTGTATTCAACTAGGAGGGCGAGCAAAATTCACGGAGTACGATAGCATCCTCTGATACCATATTAGAATGCGGTCGTCCAAGCCAAAGTTAATTGACAATTGGTGAAGAGGCCCATCATCTTTTAAGGTCTCACGTCCCATGTCCCTCCCAACTCTCATACGACCTCCTTGCAATCATTCATCTGGCCTGAGACTAGAGCCATTTTTATTCTGCAACATTTTTTTCATTAACTACTCAAGATTCTTTCATTTCCATGAAAGTATCATTTCCTTCACGAGTACGTCCCGATGAACTTTGGCAATGTTATTGGTCAATTTCATAACGAGTACTGTTTTTTAACCACACCTTGGCTCCCCAGAATGTTCTATGAACGGACATAGTCACATGGTTTGTCTCAAAGACTCTGCCATGGCAAGTGGCCATGATTTTTTAGTGTTTTTGTTTCAGTTTTCAAATTTGAAAAGAAATTCCAAAGAAAAATTGATCCGAGAAGAAAATGTTTGTTGAGAGATTTAAAAATATACAAATTTATAAATAAACCCAATCCTAGACATGTATTTATAAAAAAACCCAAGCACTATTTAAACATAGAAACACACCCAAAATCAACCCCAAAGTCAACTTTTTGGGTGTGTTTATAAATTGGTTTTGAGTGTGTATAATGATGGGTTTTGGGTGTGTTTATAAAGTGTTTTGGGTGTTGGGTTTTTTTATAATTTCAACCTCCATTTTGGGTGTTTTAGTGAAACTCCCTTAAAAATATGAGGCCAGCAGCCGAGAGTTTTTATAAAAAATAGTCAAAATTTACCCCCCACTTTCATAAATGTCAGTTTTTATAAAAACTTTCCAAAATAGCCAAAAACTCACTTAAATAGACATAAATGCCCTCAAAACTAAAATCCACATAAATAAATAAAAAAGGCAGTCAGACAAAGAAAAAGAAAAGACTATGCCAAGAAAACTTGATTTCATATCTAAGCATATGATATTCGACTACTATGCCAAATAGACATCTTCTCCACCTGCGACCTTTTCAAGCATCAACTGAAGAAGATAACACCAAACATAGCAAATCAGAAGTAGACAACTTTTTTTTCTTTTTTACTTTAAGAACTTATTGGTCTTTAAAAATGGCAAGGTTCTAAACAATTTGCATAAGATAAGATGACAATAGAAAGAACCTAGGACCCTAGATTACATCATCGGCTAAGAAAAATCAATCCAAATGTGATAATAAGAAAAACGTGGTAGCAAAGAACATACATTTTAACTAAGTGCAATTTCCTGAATGTTTGATCAATCAAGCATCATCAGCATCGCTTCCACCAATCTGAGTTTCTAGAGTTATATAGAGTAGTTGCTTCCATTAGGACCAAGAATATGGAATCTCTCAAGGATAAATTTCCCTCCCTTGAACTTCTGGCTTTTCTCCTGTGCAGCCTCATATTTCCCACCCCACCATTGAGCTACATGAAACACAAAATATGTCAGCAACAGTGTAATCATGTTATCATGATCCTCTCTGCTTTCACTCCAAGTGTGACATTTACAAATTTATCAAAAAGATAAACCCTTCCATGTCTTCAGTTAAACGACTTAGAATTTTAGAAAGTATGTCATCAACAAGAGCAGGATGGGTTTTGCAATGCTTGCAGCTAGATGTTTCCTTCAAGACTGATCCCAAATAGCCTTCCCATGTCGTTACTCTACATCTCTAGCTTTCTTAATTTCTCTTCCGGCAGTTCCAAGGGAGCATAATAGTAGCAAAATAGATTTTGTGTTGCACTCTCCTATTTTCTTTCTTTTTTTCTTTGTCTGACTGACATTCTTTTATTTATTTATTCTCCC